AAAAAAAAAAAAAAAAAAAAGAAATGCATTCGAAACGTTTTTTTTTTAAATGACGAATAGTTCCGGAGATAATTGGATTTATAGATTGAAACGGGCCGCCTTGTACAGATTAATTTGCCGGATATGTTACAAGGGAACGCGTTAGGCGAATAATTCGCGTTGTTCGTCCCGCATCGAATAGGGAGGACGAGATCCAGTTGCCGCAACAGAGATTCTCGGGGCTGAAACCCCGAAAACGACCAGTCGTTAATACAGTTCAGCTGAAAAGCCTCGGCACACGGCCGGTGCAAGCTTTGTCGACACCTACGCTCGTCGAGCGCAACCGTTGATTATCATTCGTACGCTCAATTATTCTGAAAGAGAAACGCGGGGACGGAGATGAGGCTCTCGCGTGAAACCGCTCGCCGTTTACGCCGCTTCTTGAATAATTCCCGGGGCCGCGCCACATGTCCGGGGCTCATCCAATTTTCCATCCAGCGTGTTTGGAAACGGTCGTCCTTCGGATTACAACCACGCGCGGCTTGATAGGATGAACAGGGGTGACCGGGGGCCGCAGTTGTAACGCTATGACCGCGGCATTTTCAACGGGCCAGCCTCTGCGGTGTCGCGAATTAAGCGGACTTCAACACAGCGGACGTCCTTTAAAGTTTGCTCTCAAAAATCTAGCGAGAGTTAGTCTCGCTATGAGCAATGAGAGTTACAGGGAATCGGTGGAGATAATGTCGGGCGGTGGGATGGTTTTTCGGAAAACCGAGATCACGCGGAGCCGAGTGGAATAGAGAAAATTTGGATATAGATGGCAGAGAAAATGGAAAAGAATAGGGAACAAGGGATAGAGGGAAACAGAAAATGCAGAATAAAGGATAGGGAACAGAGAGTGGAAAATAGACAATAGAAATAAGAAAAATAAAGGAAGTAGAAAATCGAAAATAATGGGGAACGGTATTCATTTGAATACCAGTCTTGTTTACTAATTAATTTTGTCTCTTCCCTCTCTGCGTACACTTTTTATTTTTATTACAAAAACGTTATACATTTGCAAGGAATAAATTTGACCTAGTTAGAAGTCGATTTGCTTTTACCATTAATTTTTAATTTAATTACAAAACAAAAACTTCAAGTTAAATGATTAAATGACTCGATCAAGATATTGAAATTATTATATGAGAGACAATTGTCGAATAAACATCAAAATTGTTCTTTACGTGCCGATACAGAACAGTATCAACAGTATTATCACGCTGTACTGAAAATTATGAAACTGTTGATACGAAATAATGCAGAAAGGAACAGAAAACAAGAAATCGCGAATTAAAGTGAAATTAGCTTTCGATCAACGCGCAAATATTCACTCATCGTGAAATTCGAAATTGTTTCAAGCAGGGATTCCCTGCCCTTCTGAAACCGCGACCACCGAGAGCGACAATGATAATTCAAAAATCCATTCTCCCTATTAAGATCGTAATTACCAGGGTGGTCGGTAAGTAATAACCGGTTCCGGAACATCGGCCCGGTAAAATGTATAACGTATTTCGATTCCCATCTTCCCGTCCGATATCGCGGTACACATTCCACCTGACCTTTCAGGGCTCATCCAATTTCAGCGCCAGGTGGATACCTCGATCCTGTATCGGGCACACGCGCGTACGTGTGCATGCATACATATTCATGGCGATGCGGCGGAGACGGGGAAGGGCAGCATCATGGGCCGCGGCCGGTGTATGAATTTTCGATAAAACCGCGAATTTCCACGGAAAATCGTTTCGGGCCGCGCGCGTCTGGGGAAGACAGTTTAACGAGATTCGCGGAGGGTTCGAGCGTGCGCGCGCGCGCGCGCGTGGGGAAGGGTTAGGAGCGTTTTTGCATCGAACCGTTGCCGGCCCGTTGCCAATCGAGATCGATACACTTCAAAAGACCCCACCGATACGCCGCACTGCCTCTGGCTAGTGATATTAATTGCGTCGCATCTGCGAAGAAACCACAGTTGCTTGCGTCGATCCGCGAATCTAATGCACTCTGTCGTGATCCTAATTTTTCTTTCGAGATCGTTGAATCAATCTTCTTCGTGTAGAAACTGGTCCGATGTAACTATTGTTAATTGTGACGGTTACTCTAACTATATGATATAATATAATTACAACAGCTTACGTATAATACGTAAATATAATATTATAATGTAGTGTAATATACACTTATGTAATATTAATTATAGAAATATACATAGGTATTATATGTACAATATAATGCACACACAGCTTTGTCTCTGCAACAGCGTCTACCCTTTTCGACATACTCATTATTTTGTCACGCATAACTGCTTTCTCTTTCCAATTTTCCTTCTCACAATACGATATCAACGACATATTTTTATAGATCGAAATAGAGTATACTCTCCAGTTGTTTACCTTTTATAATTGGTGTTCAGCTGCACTCTTACAATAAATACGTATAATAATAATAATATCACTCTTACAATAAACACGTAATAATACGATAAATAAATAATGAAATATGTACAGTAATAGATATATAAATCATCGATACACGTGCATGTTATGTTTTCATAACAAACGTCAGAACCACCGACAAATAAAATATAAAAATCACATCTGATGTTAAGATACAAGCAAAAGAGTTTACAAAAAATCCTTTTAAATTCACATCATTTCAAATTACAAATTAATCATTTTCACCGCTCTGGTATTAATAAAACTTGTAATTAAATTTCGTTCGGAATCTTGAATTTTCATGTTGAAACTTTTTGTGATCCTAATTCAATGTGCAAAGGTTGTGCAGGTACACACTGCTAGTCACAAGTATTTACATGTCTGTATATTCCATCAAGAGATGTATAGTTTTATTGTATTTCCAATGTTATATTGGAAACGAGATCAAATATTCTGGTAAATTTCAACTGAAACGGGAATTTTCATGTGTATCGGTAACGAATGATTGACAGTTTGGAAAGCTTTCAGAATGTAGCTGCAAATAGATATTTTGATTGTTAATATTCAACGAACACGTAAACTTTGAAGTCAGTTCGAAAATACGCATATACAGGATGATATAATTTCTTTTTTCAAGCACTTCTGCTAATGTAACAAAAAAATGTTTGCATCGAATAATGAAAATTGTCAAAAAAGTGCTTCTTCACAAATCGTCGAAATTCTGAAATGAAGTACATACTATTACAAAGTCGATGGATAATTTAACACTAAAATAATCCTTAATACGTATCAAAAGTAGTATGTTGAGTTTCACGGAAAGTCACAAGAATGAATGAATAAATAAATAGACGTAAGTCGCTTTTTGGACGTATTTGAATATTACTTAAACTAAAGGGAAAGGGACGTGAGTGACCTAATTAAATGTTAATCAAACTAAAGGGGAAGGGATGCGAGTGACGCGTCCTCGGGAGTTCTATCGTGGTCATTATACCTTGAGTAATGTTCTGCAATCTGGAGTCAACTGTTTTCTAGTTTGAAAGAGCTCTTTTTTAAAAAAACAATACTCACGATGAACGTGCAGTTATTTGTAAATCGTTATTAATTTAAATAAATTATACAATTTAAATGATAATTAAAGTAAATAGATTTGTACAATTATGCTTGAACAATTTAGTGTTAAGAATTTAACCAAATGTACCTGATACGCCCTCTTTAATCTTCGAGCTATGACGATTGTGGGTTCTTTTACTTGCTTGGCAATTCATTATTACACTATCATGAACTTTTATTCCTGTTTTCTGCTTTCTCAACAATATTTACACGATCGTTCCATTTCACGCATGGCTATCATCAATTATAATTAATCCGTACCCCTTTAACACAAAGTTAAATACAAATGCACACCATAATACATCGCAAATAAGTCGTATTGAATTTGCGTTATTTTGTGGAAACACGCAGCAGTGGATGTATTACCAAATGTTTTAT